CTATAGGGCACTATGTCACATGCACGGTCAGGGGTTCGAATCCCGGATCGATGCCCACACCAAGCCATCCATCCCTCCGGGGTCGGTGAATCGGTATTAGACATGTCTGGGAGGATAAAATCACTGATTTGTACATCGATTGGCAACCGCAAGTCATTGTATAGGCCACATACCCACTCATTACGCNACTACGATTCTGAATGGGAGTCGAGTGCAGGGGCGCATCCCTCAGACGGGATTGATTAACGCCATTTATCCTTTTCTCCTTTATCCTTTATCTTTTTTGTACTATTTCGAATAATACATTCGCCAGAGGATGACGCGTTTTTCAGTGCTTTCAATTTAAAATGAGTCATGTTTAAGTGTGATTTTGTGTATGGATTGTGTTCAAGTTATTATAGTTGCTAATGAGGAGGAAATCCAGTCTACCCGAAAGTATCAGCACTCAAGCAGATCTAATTTTACTCGCTCGAAGTCGTCATTAAATGAAAAATAACGCTTACATCGACTAGAACAGAGCTGCATTTGTGCTCCGGATTCTCTCAAAACCTACTGCTCTTATGTTTATACCACCGATCTACTATTTCACTACCGTTCTATGCCTTAGTTCAGCATAGCCATGGTTTGACTATAACGTTTGACACCATCATTACAAGATAAAAAGTAGAGACCTCAAAGAAAAGTACTGTCGGGCTTCAGACTACCTTACAAGCCCCTTATCGAGGACCGTAGAACTTGCGGAACCATGCGGAACCAAGGTCCAGAAGGCAAATTTGCCCACAAATTTTCGGGAGACCCTTATTCTTCATAGAAACAGAATGGAGATCGAATGCGTGGGCTCATCCTCTTACGGGATTGATGAACGCCCCAGGACTTTATCCTTCAGACTCTATCAACACTCATTCAGCGAATGGACTATTCCTGTAGGTGATTTGGTCAAGAGCACAAGGACAATCTTAGTAAATGCTACTTATTTCAAGGTGCTGCCATTTCTTTGTGAGCACCGTTTAGAAACAAGGATGTAAGCTGCTGATGCATTGATCGTTCATCTCACTGAATCGGTTTCCTAACAGCCTAACATGAACAGATATTCCTGAAGCTCTATTCTTTGTTTTGTATTGAACTGCGGAACCGGAGACCGCAACTACACTCCAGGCTTCCAACAGATTGAATAAGTTGCTGACCTTTGCTATAAAGTTCTTCCATAAGTCAGGAGAGTTCTTTAGTGATATGTTCGCAAACTCGTCCGAAGAAAGGCATTGCCATTTAAAAAAATTCCCTGTAGTTGCTGTAATTTAAATTGAATTAAAATTTTAAATTTAAATTTGTTTATGAGCTAGATGTAGATGAAATATTCGCCTCATGACAACTTGCTGATTGTTTACAAATAGGCTACCACTTTAATTTCCAGCCTCGGCCTATCGCTCAGTTTCTTCGAGGGGATTGGCTTTATAGCCATTTCCTTCGTATCGGGAGGAAGACCTTGTTTTGAAATAACCATCGAATCAGCTGACAGATGCATTGAGGCTGCAAAAGACGACCCACACGCTCGTTTCCTCTTCGCTGTGACTGAGAGCTTATCACCTTTCTTTCTTAGGGCCTAGTGAACGTGGCAAGATTTTCGAAAGTCTGAGTTCTAAAAGTTGCAGATGAAGTCTAAAGTTCATTTTTCACTGTATTAAGTACATGGAACAGCAAAAGAGAGCCAGCTTTTTGTTCTGTCGTCATAAAGATATAATTAGTCGACATAGGAAGAAGGATGGCTTTGTTCTCTGAAAGAGTTCCTCGAACGTGTATTTAAAACTCTGTATTATAGCTTTCAGTACAGTATTAAGTTGGTTTTACCGTTTTTCACAATAGAATTTCCCTTGAAATTTGAAGCGTTATTACAGTAATAGAAAGATTTCTGATACAGTCACCTGGAATAATTACGAGCTTCCTGTCTTTAATTATTTCCTTTATTATCAGTATAACAAAGACTAATCAGGCGGTGCTACTGCTCCGACATATAAACACAACTGTTGGCTTGTGACGAGGAATTTCGCCCACAGATATTTTATGATCTCAAACTAGTATAGGAATGCGTAGGTATAAGACTGATTACACGTGTGATTCATCCTTCCGAGATCTGTCGTCCTTTCGACTTCCGAATTCATTTCCGGCATCTCGCTTCGTTCGCACAGAGGAGACTCGGCTTACCTTTCCATTGTTTTGATTATGATGACGTAGCACGTAGGGGAGATCCCATGGACCGAAATCCTTCCACAAACATAGGGCAAACCACCGTTTGGTCATAAATATCACTCTGTAAGATTGTACGCTTCATTGTTGTGACGTCGAAGTTTCGTGGGAGTGGGTCTAGCATAAACAGTGCAGTGTAAACATAAACAACAACATCGGGAGTCTTTAATTGTATTATGGCCTTGCATGATAAGATATCTTCTTTAAAAAAGTTCGAAATGCAGAAATTCTATATGAAGATCGTATTGAACTAAAGCTCATGTCGAGAACCTTTTTTTGTGGAGTCCTTTTTATATTTGCGACTATTTCCATACTGTATAATTTTCAATTTAGGAGTGTTGGCTCAACAATAAGTCTTGCACTCCTACAGCTTCATGTTGTCGCCTTTTACTAGGATTTCCTCTTTTAAAATTCACTTTCATTCAGTCAATGTTATCGCTTAAATCAGTCGAGTAGAAGTCCATAGTATTCTTCATCTATTTCTAGACCATATTCTTTGAATGGCTCTGATCCGTTCCCACTACGTCACATATTTCAATCGAACTGACGCTCAACTTCATGGATATTGGCAAGGATGTAAAGCTCTTCTTATTACTGAAATAGTTCTCGTAATATTTAGGTAAGTGATTTTACCTTAAATTTTTTCTTGAAGATTCTTTTCATGCGGAAAATTCCAAAGTGGCTACTAAGTTTTCCTCGTGGGATTCTTTCTGTTGTGGTGGTGAGCGCTCTGACGGCCCAGCTTGGCTTCTTTTCATGGAGCGTTTTCGAATTGTTTCCACGCTCTCCGTGTCAATCTTCATCGCTCGTGTTCCATTGTCGCTCGTCCATCGTTTAACTGCTCGCCTGGTCACTTCTTCCTTTTCTTGTAACGTGGTCGGATCGTCGGCGCAGCTGCTATGACACTCATTGCCAGAGGGAAAGAAGGGTCTCACTCAGAGGCATATGGGATGGATTAATGGATGGTGCGGGACTGCCTCCCGATCAGCTTCTACTTTCCGCAGCTTGTAGTCGAGGGATCATGCCGACAAGTCGTCAGGAATTGTGCAAGAATTCGAGGCACCAAGGGTTCACGGTCCAGCGGTAACCTACGTTATCACGCAGTACCGCACCACAAGGGCGAGGAGTGCTGGCTGGCGACTTCTACTGACGCAGGATCTTGACCGCACTTCTTTTACATTCTCTTCTTGTTGTAGATTCAAGTTTGAACCCATTACCTTTTTTATATTATGACACATAACAATAATATTTTTGTTTATGCGTTTACTTATAGTGTCACTCGATTCATAGTAGGTAGTCAAGACTATAAGAGTCGTCTCAACGTATTTGCTATACGAATGATCGTGACCGAAGGCATGACGAAGGGCGAGAGGTAGTCTCTCAGGACGCGGGAAATCGAAGGTTAGGGAAGGCGGATCTGTGCGTGTAAGCTGAACACTGCAGAAACGTACTTCTCAGTACTTAAAAAAAGTACTTACTCCTACACTTGCCGCTGCATTCTGCTACATTCGTTCGCGCGCGACGTGGCTTTCGCCGCACGCGACCATTTCGTTCCTACTGCTCCACACCCCCGTCGAGACAGTGAACGTTTCGAAACCTGCTTCAGCACGATCCTCTGAATGTTGTCACTTTTTATACAAAATCAGTACAATAAACATAGGACGTCATCAGAAGCCTGTTGCTATCCGGGTTTTGAATTTTTCCCGATTATAGGCTTTTTGAAGTTGACTAGGTCGCTAAGTAGATGTGCCGCGAATAGTAATTCGCAGTTGCTTCTTGAGTAATCGTTGTCTTTTTGTTTTCGTCTCATGAGTAAACTGATAAATGTCTGCAGTATCTTCGGAGTATTCTTCTCATCTCCTAAAAATGGAAAGTATTGTGCCAGCTAAAAAAGGTTTTAAATCATCAAAAAGGCCCGAATCTTTGGTTTAATTGGGCAGTCGACAAAGCGTGAAAATCTAATATAAATCTTTTAGCCATTTCTATTATATCTTGACGGCCTACATGATGATCAAGACGTTTCGATATCAAAAGAATTTGCGAAATATCTGGGTATTATGCACTGCCCAGTACTTATTTAGCACCATTGATCGTGTCATTCAGGCCGGGATGATAATTCTTGAGAACGAAAACGAAGGTTATTTTTATTAATAAGAAAAATTTTGTCAGAGTTACCCGCCTTATCCATAATACACCTCTGTTTAGGTATACAACCTTCCCGAGCATTCCTATACACATCCTATATACGAGCTTTCGGCATATTTATGGGTTTGTTGATTCGAATTTAGTTATTTTATTGCGAAAACTAAACTAACAAAGTCATTTCTCATTTTTCACAAGTTCTCATGCCATACTTTGTCCAAGGCTTTCACGAATTTCCTATCACCTCGTCATCCTTATAACGTACGAGCATAACAAATGATAACCATCTTCTGGATCCGCAGTACAAA